GGGGGGGGGGGGGGCCGGGGGGTTTTTCCCCCCCCCCCCCCCCCCCCGGGCTGGAGTTCTGGGAATCTGCTTCCTGTTCTGCCCGATTGGAGCTTGGCGTGTCTGCAGTAAAAGCCTCTTGTTTCCCTGCCCCTGAACTCCTGGGAAGCTCCAGGGAGGCTCCTGCTCTACTTCCAGAGAGGAACTCCAGGCGGGGCCCCAATCCCAGCCGAACAGCCCTCCGGCAGTGGGGAAATGGAGGGCTCCTGCTGCTGGGCTGAGCCCCCCTCTCTCCCTGCAGGGAGGGCTGAGCCAGGGCTTCCTCTGGGGCTGCCTCCTGGTCCCACAGGGCAGCGGCCGGCCTCCCCTCACTTCAGCCAGGCCTGTCACCTGGGGTGGGGGAGAATCCGCCTTTGGGGGCCGGATGCTAAAGGGCAGCCTTGCCATGCGGAGTTCCCTGTTTATCAGGGCTGTGTGCCACCCTGAGGGTAGAAAGACCCCTCCGGCCACTGACCCTTCAGCTCTTCTGCTGGGAGATGCCAGGGCTGCCCCCTGAATTCCCCTTTGGGGGGGGCTCCTCTGGTTCCCTGGCATGAGAGAGAGAGAGAGAGAGAGAGAGAGAGAGAGAAGCAGCCCTCCCGGGGGTCCTGCAGAGTCAGAGCCCCCTCCCTCCTCAGAAGCACCTGGGGAGATGGGGGAGAGAGGCTGGGGAACCCTTTGAGGGGTCTTGGAGGGTCCTGCCTTTCAGCTGCTCCAGAGGGGGGAGGGGGCTGAGCCGTTGCTTGCCCTGGAGGGATTTTATCCTCCCATTTAATTTTTAAATTCTGCTTGGGCAGAAACATGAAGCTGCTTTCTCCTCTCCTCTCCACTCGCAGCAGCCGAAAGGGGAAATGAGGTCACAGCCACAAGGGGGGGGAGCTTGTGCTGCTGCAGCCCCTCCCTCTTAGCAGCCCTTGGGGCTCCTGGGAAGTCTGGAGATGGGGGCAGGGCCGACTCCCCTGGGGCTGCTCCCCCTCCCCCCCCCCTGGCTCCCTCTGCCCTGAGGAGCTGAGCTGGGAGGGGCTTGCTCTGCTCTGAGGGGCATGGAGCTCTATTACTGCCCAGGTTGCTGGAAGCCCCTTTGCAGCCTCTGGGTGAGTAAGAGCCTTTCTCCCCTGGGGGAGGGGGGGGCACAACTCAGTCTCCTGGCAGGGAGGGGCCTTGGCAAATGACCCCCAATTGTGAACAGTGGAGAGCAAGTGGTCCTGTGTGTCGGTGAGTGCTCCCCCTGCTGGCCACATACATACCCTGCCCCCCCTCCCACGCAGGAAGTGGTCTTGCCTGGGAAGGGTGGGAGGGGGGCTTGATTGGCGCCTCCTTGCCCTTCTGCCAATGGCCCTGCCTAAGACCCCCCCTTCAGGAGCTCTCCTTCAGCCTAGAACAAGGGAGGGTCCGAGGGGGCGGCTCTCAGAGACTTTGCCAGGTGGGGAAGGGGCTGGTTTCTGCCTCGATGCCTCCTGGGGTGAAGGGCCAAAGGGGCCTTTGGCTCTCGGCCGTTACTGGACAAAAGAGTTCCAGCTCCCATTTTCCCCAACCAGCTAGGTCAGGGTAAAGGATTATGGGGTGCTGTGGTGAAAAGCGAAGGCTGTTTGTTAAACAGGGGGGAGGAAGGACCTCCGGTGGCCATCGGACTTCAGATGAGGGAAGCTGCAAGTTATTTTTAGCCCTCCGGCCACGGTGGCCTCAACAGGAAACTGCGTAAGACTCCTGTTGAGGAAGGGAGGGGGGGCTCCAAGCACCTGTCCTCCCCCCTCCCCCCTGGTGGCTATTTTTAGAGGGCTCAGTCAAGGCCACCCCCCCCCCCCCCCCTGAGGCTCAAGTGAAGGCATCCCTGCAGAGGCCACCATAGTTGGAGAAGGCAGAGGGAAGGGAAGCGGGAGGGGGGCAAGGAAGCACCCAGGGAGCCTCCCTTGGCCTTGGCCCAGGTGCCCCTTGCGCCAACAGCCCCCCCCCCCCCGTTGCCTGTGGCAGAGACCTCATCCCTTCTGAGCAGTTGCTCTGCCTGGAGGGGGGGCTGGCAGGCGCAGCAGGAAACCCCCCTCCCACACACACTGTGGGA